ACGCTCTTGGTGTCTGCTGGCCTGAACGGAGCTGGAGGGAGAAGAAGGGGAGATGGTGACTGCTGTGGGGCAGGAGAACACTCACTCCCAGCACAGAGGCAGGCTCACATCCCACCATGGTCACAGGCAAATGTCCAGCCTGTCCCCCCCCCTTAACTGTCATAATTTCTTGCCTATGCTCACGTTAGGAGCAGGAAACCAATGGTGGAGAACTATCTCCTCACATGTCTAAGAGCTCAGCAGCCCCAGCCAGCTCTGCAGGGACAAAGAGGGGGATTTTGCAGCCTCCATGGCTCTCAGGGACACCTGGGTAGCCAGGATCAGCCCAAATCACAGAGGACACATTTCTAATTCATCCTCAAATACATGGGTCCCTGATCAGGGGTCTCCCTCCAGTTTAATCCCCAAAATGTGAATAAACCACAGTGCTTGCAAATGGGGTCTCCAAGGATCCATGTTCCTGGAGGGGCCCCCCTGTGAGGTTAGTCCCACTCAGCTCTAGCAGGATGGAGCTGGTCACCACCTTCTCCAGACTGGGGACGGAAGGCCTGGATTGCCTGCAAGGGTGACAGTGGGCTGTTGGCATCCTAGGACAACCATAGCTCATGGCACAGGGATCCCTGGGTGCGGGCAGGCTGGAGGAACTGGAGGGCTTTGGGTCACATATGAGTCTCCTTCCTCCTCCCTGCCCCTCTGCCCATCCCCTTCCAGTTAGGCAGCCAAACCCTACCTCCATGTCTGGACTCACCATCAAAATTCACATTGAGCATAAAGTCCTTATAGAACCTCTTGCCATTGACGGGCTTCATGGCATTGCAGAGCTTGGTGGCATTGGGGCACAGCGCCTGGTGCATGTTGTGGAGAGAGTGAGCCATGGCATAGACGGCATTGACCACAAATGTGATCTTGGACTCTGGCTCAAACTTGCCTGTCTTAAGGGAGTACCGGCCACAGTCCTGTGTGTGGAAGCTGCACTTGAACTTCTGCTCCCAAAACTCCCGAAACCAGGGATTTCGGCTGTTGTTGTAAGGGTTGAGGTTACGGAAGTAGGCAGCAAACTCCTGAATGGGGTAGGCTGCCAGCTCGATGGTGATCGCTCCTTCTGCTACCGCTTCGCTCCCAGCCACCACGCTCTCCAGGGCTCCCCACCCATCGCTGGCCACCCACATGAAGGACATGTTGGCTCTCTGGGCAGCCGCCAGCAGCTCCCGGGCATCTTCACTTCGGGTGAACAGCACAACCACTCTGGCATTGGGCTTCTGCAGCAGAGCCCGGACCACCCCATCGTAGGTCTTCTTGTTCATGGAGCGCCCCACCTTCTCCGAGGTGGCGATGCAGATGTTGCGCATGCGGGCTTCTTGCTCAAAGGCCTCAATCCCCGTCTCCCCGTAGTCACCCTCCGAGGCCACGGTGGAGACGTAGGTCCAGTTGAAAAAGCGAAGGATCTCCGCCATGGCTTTGGCTTGGTAGAAGTCTGGCGGGACAGTGCGGGCAAAGTAGTCATAGCGGGACTTGTCGCTGAGCTTGGCACTGGTGGAGGCGTAGCTGATCTGTGGGATCTGGAAGAGCCGCAGCAGGTTGGCCACCTGCGTGGAGGAGGAGAGGTGAGCCTCCAAAGATACACCCCAGCAAGGGTCATTCCCACCAGAGGACCCCTACCCAACACCAAGCGTTGCAAGGTGGGGTGCAGCCACTCCCATGCACAAGCATGGGGCTGGTGAGCAACTCCCCCACCCAGGAGGTCCTGGCTGGTGGACAGATGGACGGACAGCACGTTCACATGGTTGCCTGAGCCCCCAGACGGGCTCATTTCCTTGATATTTTTTAGTCTTTCACGCACCCCCCTCGGGGCTGGGGGCGGGTAAATGCGTTTGTGGCAGAAGCAGAAACTCCCTCGCAGGGAAGCTGTGAGAGATGCTCATGGACAAGGAGAAATCCAGGGCACCAGGCAGCCCCATGGCATGGAAGGAAAGGGCTCTGGGGGCCAGGAGCCAGGGTGGGACCCCCCCACTCAGCTCAGGGGGGCTACAGATCTGGACCCAGGGATCAGCACCTGCACATCCCGCACTGGGAGCCCCAGTGGGACCAGCACCTTCCAGCCGCTTGGCAGATGCTCTCGTTAGCTGCAAAGAGCTAATGAGGCTGTTAAACACCCGGGCTCTTGGAGCAGCAAGGGGGAGCTCGGGCACCCCAGCGGGGCTGGTGACCCTGCCCACATCTTGCTGCTCCCCAGGCGAGAGATGCAGCTTAATTAACACAGACAAATGTTCCCAATGACCAAGTCCCCTAATGACCAGAAGGCCCCGAGCACATTGAGGCTACTGCCTGGCCTCACCGCCCACCGGGCTGCCCCAGAAAAAAAAGGTGGGGACAGTGGCCCCAGCCATGGGGACATGTGGGGTCCTCCAAAAGGGAAGGGACAAGCGCCCATGTGGGCTGGGCTGGACTGCACTCCATCACCCGGCCATGGCTTCATCCGCTCCATAGCTGGGGGATGCAGGGGCACTGGGACCAGTGGACGGGGCTCAACATGCCTGGGGGACTCATTAAATTTTCATTGAGTGAGTGGCCCACCAGCCCCCAGGACTGAGCTGGCCCCTTGGGCTGTCTGCATCCTCAGGGGATGCTCCTCGCCCTGCCTAAGCTGGGTCTGCAGAGCCGTGGTTTTGGGGACTGAGCTGCACCCCACCCTGAGTGACAGCCTGGTCCAAGGTTCAAAGTGGCCATTTCCATGGGACATAGGGGTGGTGGCCCCCTGCACCCACCTTGCCCTGGCCAAGCAGCCATACAGCTGAGCCCCACTGAGGCAGGTGCCTCCTCAAAGTTGGCTGACCCTCGTGGGCTGGGTTTGGGAGGGACAGAGGGGACAGTGCCCCTCACCCTGGGCAGCTCTGCCTGCCAGGAGTGGTGTCCCCTTGTCCCCACCGCAGTGTCCCCAGTGCCATTCTGACATCAAGAGTGTCACCACGATACTGGGAGGTGTCCCTGCACCCAGCTGCCCACCCATCCATCCCATAGGGGACAGGACCTACAGGGCTGGTGGAGATCCTAACCCCACTTCCACACCGCAGCGGCCCCCAGGGTCAGTCAGCCACTGGGTGCCAGGGCACCGCAGCAGTCACCTCCCCCAGCACTGTGCTGGCCAGGAGGGACCGGGACAGCCATAGCGTGGCCGTGGCCATCCAGGTCTGGTGGCATCATGCTGTCACCCGTTGGTAGGAGGAGCAGCGTCTCCGGGCACTGACAGAATACATCAGGCAGGACAGGACCAGCATCCTCCAGGCCCACGCCAGGACGTGGCCAGGCAGGGACCAGTACCAGCACTGTCAGGAGGCAGCTCGAACCATCCAGACTCGCTGGTGGCAGCGAGGGACACAGCAGTGTGGTGGCACTGAGGATGGCACAGACCTGAGCATTGAGATTGTCCTGGGCTGAAGAGCTGTGCTTGCCACCGCGACCCCAGGAGGGGAATAAACTCCTCTCCCGTTGCGGGACAGATCAACCAGCTTGGACCCCGGACACCACCAGGGCTGCAGCCCCCCATGGCAGCAGAGAAACGACTCTCCCAAGTGCCAGGCTGGCATTCCCTTCCTGTCGCAGAAAGGGGCACAGCATCACCACGGGCGATGCAAGAGCATTCCTGTGCCACACCGGCAGTGGCATCATCGCACCCCCACCAGGGTCGTACCCCCACTGCCACCATTTCTGCCAACCCCCGGCCCCA